TAGTTCATCAAGGAATCGATGAATCCGTGACCAGAGTAGATTCATCGGTTCCTTTGATGCACCATGATCCCAGGTGATCTTGGATCATTGATTCGGATCCAGATCATTCCGCAAGAACGCGCCCTGAACTTGATCTGTTTAGAATGAACTATTCGAGCTTGCAGTTTTTTGCGTGAATGTTGCTGATGACGTCAAGCTGACATGACAACTGTAGTGTAGGGCTATATACATAAGTCCCAAAAAGTGCTCCTTAAATCTTTCCGGAAATTCACATTTTTCCCAAAAATCTCTCCGAAAAACTTTAAATTTCCCAAACATTTTCTAAAACTCGCCAAATATCTCTCAAAATTGCTAGAGTGAAACGCCCCCTTCCTAAAAGATGTCAAAAACATCAAGAGAAATACCCTCATTTTCTGTTGGAAACATTAGAAAATTTGAACACCGCTGCAAAGTTCGATAGCAAGCATGAAAATGGATAAAACTGGCATTTTGTCGGAATTCCAAATAAAGCGGCAAAAGGGTCTTCAAAGCCATCTAAATCTCCGGCAAAATCCTATTTTTTTCCTCGTCTTAAACATTTCTAAAAGTCTTCTAATACGTTAAGAATTCCTAAAAAAAAAATTCGGCTTTTGCTCCTGCTCATCTGTGATTGGACAGTATGAATCGGCAACCCTTCGGACATTTTGACTTCTCAAATGCCGTTCGAAACATAATTCAACTGTAGCTAATTGTTTGTAACCTGTTCTAAGCAGTCATCTCACTTCGAAAAGTAAACATAACACTGAGCGCGCCAAACATGGTTGAATAACGAAAATAAAAAGCGCGTTATCGGCTTACCACACTGTTATTTTTCGTCTTTTATTCATTTGTTTCGCATGTTTCCGGTAATTCTGTTATAACCAAGACAACTGGCCATAACGGATACACGCAATACTTACCTAGAATGAAGTGTCCCTGTATATCATCAGGATTAGTTGCCGTTGTATTCAAGCCAGTAAGAATGTCTGTATCTTGCATACAACCACAGTACTGATATTTTGTAATGTGTTCAGTCGTTTTACCTGGATGTTTAGACCATTTTAGAAAACAGCCCTACGAAAATA